ATTTAAATGGTATACTGTCTCCATACGAATTATGGAAATCTGTTGAAGCAGGAGCAGCAAAAGATACCCCTTACATCTCCCTTTGAGAAGATAGGAGAGCGTCAGGTGCTTTCTAGCAGGGAAGGGATCAGGTACTTCTTTCACTGAACTGAGCTCTGTGGGATGCTCCAGCAGGGCAGAACCTGCTGCTTGCTGTTACCCAGACAGGGGATGCACAACGTCCAGCCGGCAGGCAGCGACCCCAGACCTGCAGCTGCACTGGTAGGATTCAGTTTTGGGGGAAAAGGGGTTCATATTGTGTTATCCACTGCTGCCGCTAGCAAGGTTTTGGAGTAAGGAATAGGGTATTGAAAGAGATTGTCTGTCTTTGGCACAGGGATAAGAACTATGTTTTATTAAGGAATGGTAGTACAGTACAAAAATATGATTGTATAAAATCTGTGAAAAATATGGCACCATTACAAAAAAGCCTTTTCTCCTTTCATATATTCCTTTCTTTTTTAAAAATATATATTGTAAATATTTCTACTCTTTTTTCCACCAGCATTAGGAAACCAAGGAAGATCTTCAAATTACAGTCAAGATAAAGGACAACCAATACTGTAATTTGAATTGTCTTGGATTTGCCTTAATATTAAAGATCTTTGGAAGAGGCAGAAGGGGAAAAAAAAAACCAAACCACCTTCCAGAAAAGTCTAGGAAAAAACAACAAAAAGTATCTGTTCACAGGATGTGGGAATATTCAGCATTTGAAACCATTTGATGCTTTTACAAGCCAAGTCCCCCAGTCCTGACCAGCAAAGGCTTCTAGGACAGGAGAAATGAGGATGCTACCGGATCCATGAAGCGATGCCCCTGCCCGTGTGTTTAAGGGCAAGCTGGTGCTTTGCCAAGGTCAAGGCTAAGCCTTGCAGTCTGTAGCAGACCACGTGCTTCCTGGTCTGTCCTGCACCCTCTCCAGCACCTCTCAGATTTCCATGGTACTGGGATCCCAGATGGAAAGCTGCTTTAATTGGGAATTAAAGTGGGAAAAACTCATCTATCTGACCAAAAAATAGTAACTTTATCCTACTTTTTTTTTTCTTTTCCACAGCTATTTTTATATATAAGGAAAAATAATTCCTGCTCGTGAACTGATACATTTCCAGCAACATCTGGAAATAATATTGTTTGGGATAAAGCTCTGTTTTTTCCAAAGAGTCCAAGTGAACTAGGACCCTATTTTCTCTCTTTACTGCCAGACTGACTGCTGTCTGTTTTATTCAGAGGTTTTGCCTCCGAGCCTCATTCTTAACAAAAGCTAGCAATTACCGAGTTAAATTCCATCAATATGCGTGGAAGCTACCCTGCAATGTCAAATCCTGTACATTCTTACTAATAAATATAATTCCTGGCACTACTAAAGCAGCCTGCTTTGAAGGTGAGATAGGTTATCAAAGCAAGTTCTGTTGCAATACAGAGACTAAACACAGCCTAGTACAGATGGAGAAAAATGTTTGATTTTGAAAACTGTGCAGACTTGCTAGGGTCTCCTAGGACAGTCTCAGGTCTTGTCTATATGGTGAAACTGTCTGGCAAGATGTCTGTGGGCCAGCTATCTCAGCACCGTCAGACCTTTGCCAAGACCCCAGCATGCTTCATGTTGGGATGCGAGTGCTGCTCACTTCCACCGTGCAGGCAGCCCTGGGGCTGGAAAATGGCCCGAATGGAAAATGGCTGCTTAATGAAGAGAAAATAACACTGCTTATGGTGAGCGTCAAACGTGCCTAGTAGTTGGCAGAGTTGAACTGGATGCAAAGGCAGGCTGGTAAGCATGTAATTCTTATTTCAGTCCCTAAACTCCCATGGGCTCCACTAGCAGCTGAAGTGCTTCTGTATGAGCAGAAAACAGAAGCATCTTCCTGACATTTTCTAGTCCCTAATTTCCCTTCCTCTGGCCTTACTCAGTGCCAAGAAGTGTCACTGGAGCTCTAGTGAAGCGGTAATGGTGAGCTTATCTGCATCTCCAAGCAGTAGGTCTAGGATGAACATGGGATTCCTCTTCGGTCTCAAGGCCTTTCTCTAAGCTGGAGCAGAATGAAGTGAGGTGGGAACATATTCCTTCTACTTGCTCTGGTCTTGCCCTTGGGATGTAGGTTCAAAACTCGCTTAGGTGGGAGGATGGGGCATGGGATTTGTTAACAACCTACAGACAACTGCTTAGAGCAGTTCTGGTTAGGAAGGAAACCTGCAGCCCTGCAGCCTGGGGAGACTGAGAAGTTGTGTGAACCATGACCAAATTGCCCGACTCCTACGTGCAAGGTCTGGGCATCGAGGCAGGACCTTTTTTGCCTAAATGACAGTAATTTGCAGTTGTTCCCCTGCGTGAGCAAGGAGCTGTGGTGCACGCTGCCAAGCCTCTGCCCTGCTGCTGGGCAGGGAGGGGAATTCCCTGGATTTGCTCTTTCATCTCAGACAAGGACGCACCGTTTAAAGCAATCACACAACCTGCAGTTGGCACGACCTGCCGTCGCGCATGCAGGGAGATTTCAATAATTCAGCAAGCAAAACCAGAGCCAGCAGCAGATTTGGACTCCAGCCAAGGCCCGGAAAGTTGTCCTAGCATCAAATAGCGGCTCCGCTCGACAGCTTGAGATCTCCCTCCTTGGGAAAGCACTGTCTGCTAGGGGAAGGAGAAATCCTCAGCCCACCGGTTTTCTGCTGCTCCAATAGTGGGAAGGGGTGATGTACTGGTTCACACTGGTATCGCATGACCTTTCCCTGTCGCAGCAGTGCAAAGGGAGTCAGGAAGCTAGGTGTCCTTTGCCAAAACGTTAGGAAATATTGCCCTTTGCCCTAGTCCACACAGTGACCATCATGTTTTTTAATTTTCTCTCCTTTTTTTTTTTCCTTCTTATCCTTTCTGTCTTTTTTTTTTTTTTTGCTTTTTTTTTTTGTGGGTTTTTTGTTTTGTTTTTTTTTGTTTTTTAAATAAAGTGTATTTAGTGCTGGTGAAAGGTGCTGAATTGGCAACCTTGGAGATGGGTGTCCCTCTGCCCAGCCTAGGAGATCCCTGGTGCTTTCTCTGGCTTCCTCCTCTTGGCACCAACCCTGCGCTAGGACAGCTCACAGGTCCCTGTGCTCCACTGCCCTCTCCCATAGCTGCCTCTTGCTGCGCTGGCCAGGACACCCATGGCTGAGCATAGGGTCCCACCTCCCATCCCAGGCTTGGGTGCTGCTGACCTGGGCCAGACTGGACCTGACAGTGCCGGAGGGCACTTTGCTGTGAGCTGCTCCGGGGGATGCAGCTTCTGCAAGCAGGAATCTGTCTGTTCCTGGAGCAAGCATCATATCTGCAGCCCAGGTCAGCTGCGGTCCAGCCCTGAGCAGGAGACGGGGATGAGGGGAGAGGAGGGAGAACAGAATCACCCCTTGGGTGCCACTTGTCTCTCTGCCTTCATTTAGAGCCTAATCCAGACCTGACCCCAAGTGCTTCAGTGCAGACTGATTGTCTCTTCCTTCATGCTCTCTTTTACCCGGCCTCGCTAAAGTGCAAACGAACATGACTGAATCACCCCGGGTGCTGCAGCCCGGCTCACACCCAGGGGCCCAGAGAGGCAAATGGGACAACAAGCCCTTGACTTGCCCTTGCCAGCCCTGAGCCAGGCTTTCAAATACCACCCTAGAGGCATTTGGTGTGTCCCCCCCACCCCAACCACCAATGCGACCTGTGCTACCACTTGGCAAAAGGGAAAACCCCTTTGCCCACCCATTCCCACCTCCCTCCCCCCCTTCCCTATCCCCACTAAACTGTGCCAGCCTCCCCCAGGACTCTGCTGGGCAGCAGAGAGGGGCAAAGCAGCCTGCTCCATCTTCCCATTTGCGTTAAAGCTAAATGCAGCACCAAAATAGATACAAAAATAGAGTTTTGGGTCCATCGGCCCAGCTTCGCTATTAATATTACTGCTATGAAATGTCTGAAAATAAAAGCTGCTCTCTCTGTACACACTTTCCCCCCCCACCCCCTTACAGACTGTATTGCCGTTCGCCCGGTCCTGTCGCAAAAAGGCATGAATATGCCTGTTTTCAACACAATTTCTGCTTTAACTCATCCAATGCTTCCATCCGCACCCCCCCACCCCATTGTAAACAAACATGGCAGAAAGGGGTTTGGAAAAAAAAAGTACTTCATCGTTTCTAGTGTTCTGAATAGTATTACTGACTCCTGGGACTCGAATCCTGCCAGGTCATTTAAAAGGACAGAAGGTACCTGCGGTTTCTGATGAAGGCCCTGATGTCCTTCTAGGGTTTCCCATTGGATGCTCTCTGATGGGGATGAGAGAGAGATAATATATTTGCTTTCCTCTATCCAAAAGTCACAAAGTGTTTGATCAGCAAACCCGTGACTAAAATAAGTAAATACATAAAATAAACAACCCGCAGCCTCTTTCTTAAGTTTCCCTGTCTATCCAGTTTTCAAAGTGCAAAACCTAGAGAAGCATAGAATGATTTTCTTGGGTTTTTTTTCCCCTTTTGTTAGGGCTTTTTTCCCTACATGCTTGACTGGTATGGCCTTTCTATAGCAAAAGTCAGATAAAGCATAATTGTGGTCGTTTCTGCACATGGAATTATGAATCATTCCAGTGACTTGAGAATCTAAGCTGTTAATAGGCTAAAAAAAGGATTTTTTTGTTTATCTTTTTTGATTGTTTTCTTTTTGCATTACAATTAAGCATGAATATATATTAATATATTACACTGCTTGGATTGCAGCTGGAGCAATCCAAACCTTCCTATGCCTTAAAACTAACACCCACCCTGCAATCCCCAGATCAAGAGTTTTTTTCCTCCTCCCTGTACCAGATTTCCTCAGTTCACATGATTAAAAGTCCCTCCCAGCCCCCCTCCCCCTTTTTTTTTTTTTTAGTAGATATTGCCACATTCTTAAATTCATGCATTGCTGCATTGCTATTGCACATATATAAAGGATTGCTCACTCCCTCCCAGCTGCTCCCCTTCCCTCACTGGTTGTGCACATCCTCTCTGCGGACGATCTTGTAGATGATCCAGTAGAAAATGTTGAAGATGAGGAATGCCATAGGGAAGCCGATGCGCGAGATCTTGTCGATCTTCTTGGCTCGCTGAATGAAGAGCTTTCGCATCTCCTCGGGGGAGCGGGATGGCGGGGGGACCGGGTTGGCTGTGTTGTTGTTGTTGGCGCCCTTGACAGAGATGCCATCCTTGGCTTGTAGGCAAGCGGGTCCCATCCCGTAGGCGGTGAAGTTGAACCTGCCTTCACCAGCTTCATCCTCCTGAAACAGATTCAGCATGGGACTCTACTTAAAATGAGATATAGACAGTGCACCCTCGCTATAAGGCTCTCCACTGACAGCTTCCTGCTCTCCAGGGGAAAGACACCTCCATCGTGCCCTGACTTCAGCGCCCTTGGACAAACCCTCTGCTCTTGGGAGATCAGCCTTATAGAGGGGTGCCAGCTGCGTGTTGCACAGATGCAAATCAGGGGATCCAGGCACCCCATGGAGAACAGGACTGACTTCCACCCCACTGGTGTCTTTGACATACTTGAACAGTTTGTGGTACTGCATTCATTTTTCCAATTGCATCCCCTGTTTTGCTTCTGCCTCTCCCCCCGCCCCTGTCAGCACCTTCTTTGCTTTGCCTGTGCTGCATCAGCTCGCCCAGAAGGAGTGGGCTCCATGTAACTCAGGTAGTCGAAGCCGCGGCGCGAGACTTCCTACAGAGTTACATGGATGCGCAGGCGCCAAGACCTGTCCAGGAAAAGACCTCTGCAGGCAGCGTGCAACCAGCCCTCAGCTCGCCTGCCCACAGGACCCCCGAGCCCCACAGCCCCTCCCCGCAAGCCACCTTTTAGGTGAGGAACAGAATTGCCCTTCTGCAGGTCAACGGTAAGACACGGCTCTTTGTGCTAATTCCAATTACTGAGCAAGAAAAAGAATTGATTTTCCAGTCTAAAGGCAAATGCTATTGATGTTTTTTGGTGGAGGCCTTGCAGGCTTCTCAGGACAATTTAGTCCTATTTTATCAAACACGGGAATATAATCACAGGAAGAACCAAGTTTGGCCCAAGTAATACAACCAGTGAGTTGCAGAGGCAGGGTCAGAAACCCAAGTCTCTTGACTACAGGTCACCGAGGCTAATTGTTAGACCAATGGCGCTAATTATCTGTCATGGAGGCTGATCCATGCTGTCCCCGCCAACACTGACCTGTGTCCCCCAAACTGACCCCCTCCCTCATAGCCCGCCTGCCCGATGTGCCCTGCTGCCCCTTCCTCTCTTCTTTGCAGAGTGCCTTTTCTGGATGGCCCCTGTATCGAGCAGGTAGCTGCGTGGGATGGAGGCACTGTGCCGGGGTCTGGGTGGAAGAGCAGAAGGAAGAGCACGCTGGCATATCTGAGCAAAGCAAAACAACCCAAATAAAATCATGCCTTCTTTTTTTTTGAGAGGGTGGCAAACTGGTGAGTTGTGTTACCTACCAGCAGGCTCATTTGTTTCAGAGTCCTGGCTAAGACAAATTTGCAGGCCTTTGGAGAATTCTCCCCTGCTCTGATTGTGTCCCCTTGGTGTATCTCTGGTTCCTGGCATCTGAGCCTTGAAAATCCTTCAATGTCTTTGCCTCCTAATAATGTCTCTGCTAGGAGGCAGTGCTCTGGTCGGGGAAACTGAGGCACCAAAAATTAGGACCCAGCTGTTCTCACCTGAGTGAGTCCAGGTACTGAACATCTAGTAAGACACTCTTAGTGAGCTAGGAGTCAAGGTTCACAGAAACTCTTCTCTTGGCTCTCTTGGAGAGATTTTTTCTGTTAAAAGGCTGATTTTCTGATGATAGGTGATGCAGGAGCTCTACTCTTCAGGCAGGCAGAACCTGCACTGCAGATGAGGCACTGGCGATGAGGGTGGGTGGGGACCTGGAGGGGTGCAGGCAGCAGGGGCCACTTCTGACCCTCCAGCGCCTGCTGGCAGGTGGCACGGGGCGACGCAGACGCCCCAGGCTGTGCGGGGATTGGCATCCCTCAGCTCCAGTGCGTCAGGGAGAGTTTTGCAAATGTTCACTCTCATCCCTAACTTGTCCCCCTTTCCTTAACTGGACTCCTTGGTGCAGCCAGTAGTGTGTACATGGGCTGCAAAGGCCTGGCTTCCTGCGACGCTCAGAGCTTATAGAGCTTCTCATCACATCTCTATTATGGGGGTTCAGGTACAACTGCCTCTGCTCTTCTCTGGTTGCACAATCACATATGTGCTGACACATGTCTGGTTTAACCCGAATCACTTAATTCCCTAATTTACTGAATTTCTTTTCTTTCCTTATTACCGAGGGGCCACTGGCTGTTTACTGTGGCTGATTTGTTTTGTTTGAGTGCCGTACCCAGGAGAGAGAAGCTAATGGTGCCTTTTTCAAGGTGCCATATCAAAGGAGAAGGGCAAAGGCATCACCAGCCACACTGGGCTGGCTTCCTTGGCCTGGGTCTCCAAATACACTCCAAGTGGGTCTGATGATGGTGTCACATTGACCAGACTGGTCCATACCTTGAAGGGACAGTAACTCTCCCTAGCCATCACAGTCCCTCCATCTCCCCATGACCAGGACCTCAGTAAATACAGAGAGAGTAATGGGTTCAGAGCGAGCTGTCTAGTTGATCCTTCTAGTCTAGTCCTCCCCCATCTTCCAGAGGGAAGGAGGTAAGAGGTGGCTCAGAAATAGAAAGGGCCAATTGAAACCCGGCAACAGATATTTATTGATTTGATTTTTATTTTTTACAGAGGAAGAAAGACTCTTAATGATGAGAATAAGCTAGCATCTCGTATCTAACTCGGAGGAAAGTAAGAAACAGATTTTTCTGGATTCACTTGTATTAATGCCAGACCGTGGCACATTGTCTGGCGCATTGAGCTGTGAAGAATGGCTAGTAGGTTTTGATTTGCGCAGACCTAATAAATGTGGGCATGGGCTGGTCCTCTCCCCAGCTGCCTCCACCAGCATGGACCACTGCAACATCTCACTTGTTCTTAGCCTGGCATGTCATACATAAACCAGGCAGAGCTACCCAGACAAGTCAGGACATCAGGACAGAGCAGTTAGATTCTTTGCCAGCTGCACTAATCCATTTGCATATTTGCAGTCAGCTCCTAGTTTTCTGATGAGCCTGCAAACCTTGTTCATTTTGCTTTTGCAAGTGTGTTTGTTTATGCTTTGTTGCAATTAAATTGCTGTGAGATTGGGCAGGGATTGTAATAGCAGCCTTGTGTTCAATGGAACATCTCTGGCAAATATCTTTTAAACTCTTCTGTATATTAGTGGCTTTTTTCTCCTTATTGTTTTATCAACAGGGCAATCTGCATACAACAGCACGGATACAGAGACAGGCTGTCCGAATCTAGATGAAGAGATAAAAGTACTATGAGGCACTCAGGTTAGGTGTGTTTAGCTTTGGCTTAATAAAACAGGCTGCATCTTCTGAACCAAAACTGCCTCAGCTGATTTTAAGATGTCAGGGTCTTGCTCTGGCCAGACAAAATCGATGGGTGCTGATGGTCTCATTTGTTACTTTTTTTCCCTTGCATTTGTCCAACACTTTTCATCCCTGGTCCTGACTGGGCTGGGGACAAGTGAACAATTATCTCCTGTTTTGCACATAGGACAACTGAAGCAGAGAGAGGCAAATCTACAAAAAGACAGGGATTCCTGCTCCTTAGCCCCCACTCCCTCCTGGAATGGTGGCAGCTCTCCAAGCACACACTGTGAACTGCTGTAGGACAGGTTAGACCCTGGGAAAGACTTTTAATGTCTGAGACAGTGAAGCAATGGAATGGGGGGGTCTCTGGATGGGATGGATCATAGAGTGCTCTTTAAAATAGAGGGTAGAAACACACCAATGAGGAATATTTTAGGCAGACCTTGGTGGTTTCCTAGGGGTTCTCTTGAGATTCCCATCAGTAAAATTTTCTATGTTGGTTTTTTTTTTTCCTTAGCAAATTTACTGTTTTTTTAATGCTAGCTTGAGGGCAACCTCTCAGGCCTGGTGCTGAAAATTTGATACCATCTACCTGATTCTACTAGTTAATTAAGGACAATTTTTAAGTGCCTTTGGTCTTGTGATCACAGTCATCTTTATGTTTCTTTCTAGTGCCTCCTGTGAGGTGAAATTTTTGCTGTGGTACCTCAGCCTAAAAACTAGTAGGGTCCAGGCTGCAGGAGATGCGTGTCTATGTGACGCATGCATGCTTGGGTTGGCATCAGTCATGGCGAGTAAGCATGGAGCGAGGCTAAGGCTGAGAATAATGCTCTTTCCTTCCAAGAGGAATTTGCAGTCAGTCTGAGCAGCAGATGCTTTTGAACACAGAGATGACAGAGACAAAAGAGGTGTCACTTACCTCTGGGCTAATGTAGGCTGCCTTGTTGGGGGGATGCTGTTCTCTGATAGACATCCCTCCCACCTCCCTGCCTGCCTCCCCCCCGGCCCTTGCTGTGTCTTCTGAAGAGAACTCAGACCAGAACATTGCTGTGTGGAAATTGTTCTGTTGAGGTCAACCCTTTTGGCTTAGAGCATTTGGCTAGCTAACAAAACCCAGCTTGCTAGACTCCTGGGGTCAGCAGACTATTAGAAGAGGCACAATTCATTGAGTTAGCCCTGCTTTTTGATGTGTGACCCTCCTTAACATCTGAGCATATACTGAGGACTTCCCTGGGAGCTAGTGGCTCGGTTCAGTTGACCATGTAGTGATGTTCTGCTGGGACAGATTCCAGCTGTGTCCTTCACGCTTTATGTATTACCTTATGATGCCTCCTCTTCCTTCTGAACCTGAGCAGCTCTTTGTGCTGCCGAGACACGAAATTGACGGCAGCGTACTCTAGAAGTGCGGAGAACACAAACAGCAAGCACACGGCCATCCAGATGTCTATGGCCTTCACATAGGACACCTAGGAGTCAGAGAGAGAGACTGAGATGGGGACGGCTTCTTCACCCAAATGCCTTTTTGCTTGCTATTTTATGTGTTACTCCCAAGGTCTTTGGAAGGAGTTGATCAAACCATGATATGGCTGACATCTGCTTTGGGATACCAAAATCTAGCTCATTTAACACAAATATATTATCAAACCACTGAAGTGCTCCTGGGTTCTTAAGTAGCAATAATTCCACAGTTTTTAATTTATCCAGGTCTTGATTGTGATGGTTCATATGCAAGGAAAAGAGTAATCCAGTTTGATCACACCAGAAGCACTTCATAACAGGGAAATTCAGTACTATTATAAAAGTATGATGATCAAGTGAGTAAAAAGATAGAATGTAGACTGCATATCCAAGTGTGGCTGTTGCAGGGGTTTGCAAGGTACAGAGCTCCTGGCTACTGGGAGCTGTGGTGGATCTTGGGGAAGTTTTTCTGCTAGTCATAGCAAGTCTGCTAAAATCTTTGCAGGAAGGGACTGGAATTTGTTCTGCTTGCCCTTAAACTAGAATAGTGCAATGGCAGCAGAATGTCTCTTGTGTTGAGCAGGAGGATCTGTGTGGTGACTTGCTTATGTGCTGTCCCCAGAAAGTGCACATTTTGATGCTCTGTGAAGATAAGTGTGTTCCTTACCTTGGGCAGTGATGCTCGGGAACCAGAGCTCTGTGTGGTCATAGTGAGCACTGTGGTGATCCCCAGGCCAACACGAGCAGGCGCAGCATCCATATTGATCCAGAAGGAGATCCAGGACAGAATGACAATAAGGAGGCTGGGGATGTACATCTGGATCAAGTAATAGCCCATCTGCCGCTCCAGGTGGAAACGAGCTTCTATACAGGTGAACTTGCCTGAGAATGACAGGAAATATGTGGAAGATTACTGATAAGGCACTGTGAGCCTCCTGTTTTCAGCTATTGTCTGGGGACTTTCCTTGCATTGCCTAGAACCAGAGTCTTGTTGGAGGAGGAAATTAACAGCTGTTGCTCAGTTCTGAAATATGAATGTACAACATCAACATAGCAAAGAAAGCTCTTGGCAGTATGTTCTTTGTCACTTAAATTTCACCTGCTCCCTTGCATCAAAGATAAAAAAAGATGTTCGGAGATAAGGTACAGACCAAACACCCTTGAGCAAATGCAGATGTTACTGGGGACAAGAGGGTTCCACACACTTGTGCCTATTAGCTTTTTATTTGCTATATATGTGTATGTTTTCTGGCAACATATCTATGTGTATTTATATATGTGTTGTCCCTAGCTGTGTAGGACAAGGCTTGTATCACCAGAGTGCCATCAGACACAGCAAGAGATTCTGGCAAATGCACAGTCCTGAATTCCTCTCTAACGAACACAGCAGCTAAGAGTAAACAGCACTGACCTGTGTTGTAGTGCTTTGTGCAGTATCTCAAGTCTTTTTCTTCTTTGAGGATAAACTGAGGCAAAGTCAGCCCATCAGCAACTTGCACGGCTCCTTTTTCTTGCCATTCAAAGATGAGATCATTCATTGTGTAGCCAACTGTTGAGAGCAGGGGAAAAATACCATGTGAAACATATTAAGTACTGTTCTGGAAAGGGAGAGATTTGTAGTAGAGAGCTATGCTTAGAGGCAGGGATTTATCCTGGCCTTCCTTGGCAATGCTGTAATGAATGGGATTTGGGTTGAGGCAGAACTGCTTATGCATATGGTAAAAAGCTAGGATAATAACCTGCACGGAGCTGTGGTGGTGTGCAATGAATTGTCTGCAATAGATGACATTTTTTCTTGAATTTGGCTTGTTGAGCTGTTTGCTATTTTTTCAAACTTGACCTCTTTCTCTGAATGAAGTCGTTCATCGTCTTTCCCTCCTTTGGGATAAACAACATGTACAAGGGGCAAATGTTCATCCAGAGAGAAAAAATCACGTTTGCAGCTGAAAGCACTTTCATCTTTCTCCTCCAAAGTGAAAGGCCAATGTAAATACAAGCAAGCCAGGGCTCCTCTCGTGGGGTCTTTTAAGGTTTGGCTTCTCTAGGAAATGTCACATGCTGAATGAATGGAAAATCCTGAGCATGTGGTTCTTAAGCAAGCCTCCAGTGAAGGCTGAACTGGGAATGGGTTGCAGCTGGGGAGAGAGATGGCAGGGGAGAGGGAGAGGGAAAACACGTTGTCTCCTCTCCGAGACAGAGATGTGTGCAGGACTCACAGCTTTCTAACTGCATGATGCATGTCTGTACATCCATGGGGAAGTTCTTCAGGTCCATGGGGCAGGCCAGAGTCAGCGTGATCCTGAGGAGAGAAGACAGCACAGGGGAATGCCAAACAGTTTGTGGTACCAATGGGGGGGTGAACCCTCTTGGACACCTGATGTTGCAAACAGGCTGGCACCTTGCCCAAGACACACTGATGTACTGGGGGAATGACTGATCATTCACCTCTTCCCTGCCTGTGTTTTCTCATGTGGTGTTGGAAAGCATCAGAAATGCTGAGCATTTGGGTCTGTGATATAATTCCCAGCAGAGTAGCCTGCTGCAGATGGTGTTTCATTGCAATGCTGTTTTGGACTTTGCAGAACAAAGGGTTCCCACACCAAACAGTTTTGCTGCTTCTGTCTCCATTTCTTGCCTCAGGTTCACAACAGTCTGGACTAGCAGCAAGCCCAAACTCATCCTCTGGACCCCCCAGACACGTTTCTAGAGAGTGGGACTGTTTGGAAATCTTTGAACAGAACATTTCTGTGTGAAGAAAAAAAAAGAAGTTTGGTCAAGATCACACATTGCTATGGGGGAAAAGAGAGACTTCCGCAGGGAAAATGCCCTGTGGTAAGTCAGCATGAATCTCTGTATCTTCCTGAACTCCTGCTGTGCCTCTTGAGACCTCTACTTTTGTCTCTCAAGCTCTGTTTTCCACTAGGTGCAGGCTGTATTTTCTGTGGTCTATTGCTGTGCTGCCCTATACCAGGATCTATGCTCAAAATGTTTGTTTGGTTTGTCGTGGTTTAGCCCCAGCCAGCAACTAAGCACCGCGCAGCCGCTCGCTCACTCCCCCTACCCCGATGGGATGGGGGAGAGAATCGGAGGAGTAAGAGTGAGAAACACTCCTGGGTTGAGATAAGAACAGTTTAATAATTGAAATAAAGTAAAATAGTAATGCTAATAGTAATAGTATAATGATGATAATAATAATAATGATACACGAAGCAAGTGATGCACAATGCAATTGCTCACCACCCGCCGACCGATACCCAGACAGTTCCCGAGCAGCGATCGCTGCTCCCTGGCCACCCCCCCCCCAGCTCTTTTCTTACCCCGCTCATATACTGAGCATGACGTCATATGGTATGGAATAGCCCTTTGGTCAGTTTGGATCAACTATTCTGGCTGTGCCCCCTCCCAGTTTCTTGTGCGCCTGGCAGAGCATGGGAAGCTGAAAAAGTCCTTGACTAGCATAAGCAGTACTCAGCAACAACTAAAACATCAGCATGTTATCAACATTCTTCTACTAAATCCAAAACACAGCACTATGCCTGCTACTAGGAAGAAAATTAACTCTATCCCAGCCGAAACCAGGACAGTTCAAGAAGCTGTTATTAAATGATTTGATTCAGAGAGTTAGAGTTGTGTTATTTGGTTTGATAATGATGAACATGTTGTTCCCTGAAGTGTTTAGATTTTTAAGCTTTTTGCCTTGATGTAGAAATAGCAGAATTTCCTAGGGGACAGGAATTGAATTTTTCTATAATCAGACCTACAAGAAACTTAGTAGGAGGGAAAGATAGTTAACTTAAATCCTTATGTTGGAAGAAATTCTCTGCTTGAGTTTAGAGGCACGTTGGGACAGATGTGACAGTAGAAAGAATCGACCTGTTCAAGTTTCCTTTTTAGGAAAGCAACTGCATTTTCTGTATTTAAACAAACACCTTAGTAGAAGAGAGTCACCACTAGCCTTTGCTGACTTTGTTTTTCTCATCGCACCTCTGACAGGGGACTCCTATCTCTGATCAATCGGAGAGATAAGCCTTCAATTAGATCTTCAGACAAACTCCTTGAGAAGAACTTACTGTAAATATCTGCCAGATGTGAAACAGGGGTGACTGTGGCTGCAACTAGGTCGTGAGATGCTGAGCACATGCCGGACAAGTGTGTGCTGAAAAGGGATCAGAGAGTGAAATCCTCGATGGTGATTTTGGGTGAACCCAGTGCTGAGCATGCTGAGTTTTGGGTCCATGGGACAAAGTCTACCTTCTTGTAAGTGCCTTGACTAGAGCTGGACTATTGCAAATAGTAGTAACAAAGAACCAGTTAGAGAAAAGCAGAGCACTTTAGATGGAAATGTTTTTTTTTAAAAGGGAGATTATTTCTCCCTTTGGAAACTATTTACATTGTGCTCTTCCATCACGAATGTCCTCTTTCTTTTTGGTTTTCACAGGAAAATGTACTTAAGAAGAAACCTATATTTTCATTTGGAGATGAGCAATATAGGAAAATTCTTTTTTTTTAAAACAAGAACTGAAGTGTTTTCAAGTTTTTGCCTTGAAAACAGTGATCAGCTCAGTCACATTGCTCCAAGTCCCCTGCTAAGTCATTGCTCTGTTTTGCAGAGCAACCCCAGGGCTGGAGTTGACCCATAATTTCCCCTCTGTGCTCCTGCAAACCCACCTGGAACAGGACTCTGTGCCACACTCACTGCCAAGTTGCTGGCGGCAGTTTTACTACCTGCCTGTTTTTAGAAATTAAGAAATGTGAGGTTTCCACATTCAGCCAACATGCATGACAATTCTCTTACTGTTTTGGCCATCAGGGATCTGGTCTTTGGACTGGAACCACCTTGATGTTTGATGGAGGCTGTCTACGTTGCAGAGTTAAGCTCTTTATTTTCCATTTTACAGCTCCATGCTGCTTTTTCTTCCCCATGGCTGCCACTGGGAGCTGCAGTGTGAGATGGGGTGTGCGTACCTTAGGCAAATTTACATTATACATGAGGTGAAAAAGTCTTCAAGATAGTGTTAAACTTTCCCTCTTTAAGCTCATGAAATTTGATCTTAATTTTATTGGTTTAAAATAAGGAGTCGATGGGGTTGGAAGTGAATTGAAGGTGGGGGATTGGATTGATTTCTTGTGGGAAATTCAGCGCAATTAGTTCAGCTTCACTGATGGATTCTCAGATCTAGCGATAAGGGGATAAATGGGAAGAGTTATGCTGAGACAAAGACATGGAGCTCTACTTAGAAGTTTCCCTAATTTTTTGTCAGGAAATGCTGCAGCTTTCAAAACAGTTTTTCATGGTCTTCTACCAGTCTTCATGTAGTACAGCTGGTTTTAGGCTTGTGTTAGTATAATATCTCCAGTAATTTTACATGACGGATCTTAAGGAATCTACTAGTGAGGAGCAGAAGTCCTCAGACTGAGAAAGGTAGAGATGAGCCAGATTCCTTCCCAGACCAACCCTTGATCTCAATATGCTTTAGCTAACACCTTCCTGGTTATTACTTTTCTGCCTGTTGTAGAAGCAGTAGTGAGTGGCAACCATCTGGCTGAAGGACCCACATCCTTCTGCTCCAACATGGATTCAACTACTGATGTAAGAAGGCATTTCCCATCACTCAATTTTTTTCTTTCCCTTCTGCAAATAAACCTATTTCTGAAAATAAATTTCCCAGGCATAGTTGTGTCTTAGCAGCTCTTGAGGACAGAGCTGCTGGGGGTGTGGAAGAACCCCCAGCTATGCAGTGGTCTCTGCTGTCCCAGAGGCAACCCAGCTTATGGTGTGCAGTCTCCATGCCTTTCAAAAGCACCATCCTTCTCCAAGATCCTGACTTCTGGAAGAGGGCATGAGGCACAGGAAAATTTGTCTCTGTCTCAAGCTCTTCATTGGTGTGTGATAGAGCACTGCCACGCTGCCCAGTCCTTTTGGATGGGCATCTTCTTATTTAAACATGAAGGAAAATAATGGTATTTTGCATGCTTTCTTTTTAAGGGAAGCTACTAATGCAAAATTAGGACTTGAAGCTCAGAAGGATTCCACAATTTTGCGAACCTCTTCTTCTTGGGGTGGCTGGAGAAAGACATCTTCACTTACAGCACATTGCTCTGCTCCCACAAGGATGTGCTTAGACATGCAAACAGTGAACCATATACCTCACTGCTCTTAAGCACAGGTTAATGCTGGATATAAAGGTCCAGATGAGGGAGCTGGTTAATGACCTTTTTCTTTCTTTTAGCTTGTGTAGCTGTATTTAACTCAAAAAAATTTGAAACAATGTTGGTCAGGGAAATAAGGATGTGTTTTACTTTTCAGTGATTTTTGTGTGAAGGAATCTGCCCTAAAAGGAGGATGAAATACTGGCACAGGCTGCTCACAGAGGTTGTGGGATCTCCATCCATGGAGCATTTCAATTTGGCCAGACAAAGCCACAGCTAACCTGGGCTATTGTTGTCAATATTCAGGACGTGGTTGTGTGAAAGACCTCCAGAAGTCCCTTCCCACCATGTTGCTATGACACTGTTAATTGCATGCTCTCCCACTTAAAACCCCTCAATTTCTTTTATCCAATGGCATGCTCAAAGTCTCCACTTTCTCATTTTAGCCTTGAACAGTGAGAGTTTAGCTCTGCCCTCCCCCACCTTGTACATATTGAGTCACCTCACCTGATGCTGTAGAGGACATTGCCATTTCTGGAGATCCTCAGAAGCTTGTTGTCTGTGGTAATCTCATGGAAATGGGCCCCTTTCTCATTAGCAAAGAACAAGTCAGGCTTCCAGATGGAGTCCAGCATAGAGGGGTCCAGGTCCAGAGAGTCATCAGGGTATTCGTTGTATGCCAGCCGCGGGTCATTCCACTGCTGTCGCAGGAAGATGTTCACCCTGTAATCCTGCGCAGTGTAAGCAGGGAGCAGAGAAGTGCAGTTAGTGTTCAGAGCAGGCTGAAGGTCCTGAGAACTGGGGAACATGTACTAAAATCATTCTCAAAACCAGACCATGTCTAGACCTACGTTCCCAAGCTATGGCATGCCTTCTTGGCATTCTTTCTCATGGACCTGTTGTTATTTTTAGCTCTGTAGCTTACAGCTATCTCGTAGCATGAGCAGCTGTCTATCCTTGCATCCCTCCATCACAGCGATCATCAGTTGTGTATGAAGTGTCAAGACCTCTAGTCTGAACCCCAGGGCTGGAGAAGTGATGTTCATTGGCAGGGGTCATAAGGGCTGGTGTCAGCAAGACAGCTGTTGCAGAGGATTATGGGGGAAAGGACATTGAAGCCAACTTCCTTTCAGTGTTGAACCATCCCATATTGTGACTAGGTATGGTTCCTCCAGACTTGTGAAAAGAAAAGGCACAGTGAGACAGGCAGTCCATGGAAGGGATATTCCCTGTGTGTTCACTAATGTAAGGGTAAATCAGATGAACTGATGGGAGCAACTGCCCTTGGTGAGAGTATTTGAACATGGGAGGGATGTGCATGAAGTCTGCTCTTCTAATCCTAAGTGAGTGTTCTGGGTTCCCCTCTGGAATGCCAAAATGGCATAAATGCTACAGATTTTATAGGATGGCTGTCTTCTTTAATTGAAGCTAGTGCCCCAGCACTATGCAAAATTTTATCTGCCTGCTAACTGTGTGTCTTACAGCTCCCCTGAGTTCCCCAGGCCAAGACTGGCTGCTGAGGTCAAGCTCAGACACTCTCCTGGACAATTAAAGGCAGTTTCTGTTTTCCCTGTCTGACCAATAGCTTCCCAGAGTGATCTGCATTCTGCTTTTCTGCTGAATTTCAGATAAGAAAGTGAGCCAACAAATTGAAATAGGGAGAGGACATGCCAACTATCAGGAGGGGGATAAAAGCTCCATGTCCATAAATTAATTGACATTTTCTAAGTTTAGAGGCAGACTGCGTCTGAAGAGCAGCATATAATAAACCAATTCCACTGCCCTGGCCCAAACTAATAGTTGCTATCATGATTAAGGGTTTCTTTGGTGCCTTTCTAATACCAATGTATTTTGAAGACTTTTATTAAGAGACAGTTAATGGAGGGTGTCTGACATGCTTGTAGGTATCTAATACCTGCTGCAGGCACTAGGACCTTTCCTTCAGTGAGACTATTTGGCACGTCTGAGGAGATCTCTCTGACTCTGCCATCAGGTCTGTTCTTTCCATCTGGAGAACACAAAGCTCCACAGTTGAAGGGTGCATGTGGAGGAGAGTCTTTCTGATGCTGTTCTCAAATGCTCACTTGACTGTAAACCTACAGCCTCTTGTCCAGGAGGACATGACTCTTGTGGAGTCCAGTCACACCGGAGGGTTGGGAGAGGACTGTGTCTTGGGTGCTTTGTGTTTTTCAATGGGGAAGTTCATACCCAAGCTCATCGTCAAGAATCTGTTTCAGGACACTTGGTGCCATCTGCATCCTTGGAGCACAGGAGCTGCTAATGACATTAATGATTGTGACAACAGCAAATGGGCCAAGGACTTGATGCTAAAAGGAGCAGAGCTCTGAACATGAAAAAGAGTTGCAACACTCTCTTCTTCTGCTGATATTCCACATTTCACCTTCACAAGTCCTCGTGCATCCCTCTGACTTAATTATTCATCTCTGTCTGTCCTGCATAATGTGTCTTGAGAAAATGTGAATAGCTGTGGACAGCTAGGAACCAGGGTCTTAGCGCAGGACTAGCCAATCACGCAACTGGAAAAGCAACCCTGAATCTCCACTTCCCATGGCATGCAGCAGCTCCCCAAACAACTTGTATACTTTCAGTTCTCCCTTCTCTGTGTGTAAAAGATCTGCAGCCATTGCAGTCAGGCGAAATCAATGTCACTGACCTAATAGGTAGAAAGCAAAAGGTTGTTTTGCTTATTCAGCTACAAATAAGCTGGATGCTAGCAGGTCAGCTCCAGTTGGGGGCTTATGTCATGTACAACACAAATTAAACTCATGTTTGGAAGAAACTTCAGTGGTAGCTGCCCAGAAGTGTTCTCAGCCTGATGGAGTGTTGGAAGGGGGGAGGAAATGGAGCCAATCTCTCTACAACAGCCTGTGTTGCCACAGATAAGCTTTGTTGCTGGAGTAAATTCACTACTTCAGCTCCAAAACTAGCCAAAAGGAAAGGAAGGACAGAGAAGAGAGGTGTAGTGTGGTTTATGTTGCCACCACAGCAGGCAAAAGAGGCCATAGACAGAATGACTGCTCTAGTCTTTGTCACCATGATGAAGGATCTTAATTACATGCTTGTGGGCCAAATGAAAATTTTATCACAGTAGATGGCTGTGAGAAGGCCCCTCCTAACTAATCTCCGGAAACCAAGTGTCCTGTACTCATACCCTACATGGGAACAGTGCAGGAGCATGTCGTGGATGTGTGGTGTGAGACACTGCACTACCTCCATCCAGGGGGGATATTCAGCAGTGTGGTGAGTAACTCTGGTGGGTGCTATTCTTCGTGCTCCTCCTTTGGAGACAAGTGCTTGCAGTAGATATTTTTCTGTTTTGGAATATAGACACCTGAGCATTTATGTTGTGATATAAAAAAGGCAAAGACAAAGAAAATAATACATGCACTAAATGCAATTCTCTGGCTTTGCCATTTTATGGCATTAATATTTTACCTCTGTGTGTGTGTGTTTATGAAGACCTTCCTTCTCAGTGGGTTTATTTTGCAGTCCTGGCCTGGCCCCTGAAAATGGTTGTTTCCTCCCAGATGCCTTTTCCCTTATGACAGACAGCTGCATTGCATTGTAGTATTGGAGGTGCTGAGCAGCCATTTAGATTTCTTGTGCCTAGGCTTATTTGAGTATAAATGTAAAAACAAGCACTGTGACTGCAAACTGGACATGACACTGCCTGAGGAGCCAGCAGAAGGCATGGAGAGCAAATAAAGTATATCTGTGGCTGTGACGTAGCCTAAGATAAGGGTTGCAGTGTTCTGTACCAGCTAAAGGATCTTGTGTGTTGAAAGCTTTGTGCCTAGGCATTACAGTCAAGCTGAGAGGTGATGAGCTGAACAACACTCATTTGTTGGCTGCCTGGAGGTATACAGTGTTTCTCCTGAATGCTGTTGTATGAGATCTTAATTAGCATCACCAAGAAGTCTGCAGTTATTCCTAAATGATAGACAGAATGGACCAATTTCTGATGTGAACTTTCAAGCAAAAAAATGAGGTTTTACCGGGGCTGCAAACTCAGCAAAAAAAATATCTTTCTCCATATCCTTCTTATCACTTGAGTTCCTCATTTGTGTGCCAATCACATCCAGACATTGATTATCTTGTGCAGCCTGCTCCTCTGGCTGGCTTGGGAGTGGAGAGCAGCAACTCTGCATTGTGAAGGCATTCAGGAGCTTTGCAATTTTGCATAAAGGCATTTTACTCCCAAGGGGGAAACAACACAGGGCAGGAAGAAAATAACTGAAGTGATCAAAGTAGTTCAATTTGATAATGCTGAAATGAAATTCTGCTTAGTGGCCTCACAAGGAGCCAAGGAAGTGGAAGATCATTTCAGACTGTTCCTTCCCAAGATACCACAGTCTTGGCACCTGATGATGAGTGAGCTGATGAAGGCGGTGGCAGGCTGGAGGTAGTGCTGCAAAGAAGGGATGGAGGCTGTCAGGAAACAATAGATTTCAGCCTCTGACTCAGGGGTTCTGTCAGACCAGCCTCTGCACTGAACAGTTTTGGCAAGAGACTTCACTTTGATAAATTTACATTTTGCTGGTGGAACAAAACCGGGTAGAGGCGGAAATCCCTCGGGAGGGGATTCTGTTATCCCCCCCTGGACAGCAGAGCACAAGGGACTTGATTGACATCAGGTTCATTCTCCAGAAAGGGAATGAACAAGCATTTTTAAGGCTACTTGCCCTTAAAACTACAACCAACTGGTTGCAAAAAAAAAAAAATTAAATGCACTAGGAGCAGACCTTGGAAGAGTTAATAAGGGACCTTGTTACCTTGCCACAGCTGTAGCCAATGTGAATCCTGGTGTGAAAGTCACAGCTGGGCCTAGGGGAGGAGGTGCTGCTGAGGAGCAAGTCTGTTGCTTGAGGAAGGTAGGCATGTGGTGAGGGGTGGTGGCAGTACCCTAGCGCTTAATGTATGTGGGTTTTTTGTTCTGGAACCCAAAGCAGAAGGTTTTTCAGGCCATTCCTACAAAAGGAGGGGGAAGGCTATTCCTCTGGGCCAAGGATGGAGCTGCTGCTGTTGGGGGTGGGCTGTAGCTGCTGTCCTGAATTTCAAGCTTAGTAATTTAGTAGTGAGGTCTTGTTCTTCAGCCTGGTTTTCTATGTCCTTGTATTTGAGTTGCATAGTCCCATTTCATGGCTTTCCCTCCCCCTGTGCTGCCCCCCGCCCATTCAGTGCAATGACAAACTCCAACCATAGAGATGGCTAAAACACTGCAGGTCTAACATTGAAACTGCAGTCAACTGTGAGATGTTGTGAAAACCTTTTCATTTTGCATTGTGTGACTTGTTATGTGCTTATCATCTCTGCGGGGCTGATTCTTGGTTCTAAGAATGACTGACTGCAGACAGCTGAGCTCAAAACCTGGCCTTTGCTACAGGCTTTGTGTGTTGATATGTCTTTTGCTGACCTTGGGGTGAGTGGGCTTAGTATTAAATGTGACCCATATGCTTCATCAGTCATATCTGCTGTCTTCTGCACTGTGGATTGTGAGGCTGGAGTGAATTGCTTAGTCTGTTTTGCTGCATGGTTTGTTATCTCATTGGAAAGCTCATATACAGTTGTCTCTGAACAAGTATTTAACATTTGGACAGTTGCAGCCTCCAGCTTCTCTTGCCCTTAGGAGATGCTAGGAGACCAATTGTGGCTGTGTTGCAGCCTGGCTGGAAGGTTACATTTGGTTTGTTCTTTTCAGATGGCATAACTA